CCCAAGGATGTTCCAAAAACATTATGGTCGTCCAGCCCGGAGGCGTGGATGTTCTCGACCACATGCCCACCCCTTGGAGTGTTCCGAAAACAAGCGACCTTCGACCACCCCTTGGTCGGGGTGTGCTGAAAACGAAGGACTTTGGTCTTCTCAATTGTCCACCCCAAGAGATGTTCTAAAAATATTGTGGTCGTCCAGCCCGGAGGCGTGGACGTTCTCGACCACATGCCCACCCCTTGGAGTGTTCTGAAAACAAGCGACCTTCGCCCACCCCTTGGTCGGGGTGTTCCGAAAACGAAGGACTTTGGTCTTCTCACTTGCCCACCCCAAGGGATGTTCCGAAAACATTGTGGTCGCCCAGCCCGGAGACGTGGACGTTCTCGACCACATGCCCACCCCTTGGAGTGTTCCAAAAATAAGCGACCTTTGCCCACCCCTTGGTCGGGGTGAGTCGAAAACGAAGGACTTTGGTCTTCTCACTTGTCCACCCCAAGGGATGTTCTGAAAATATTGTGGTTGTCCAGCCCGGAGGCATGGACATTCTCGACCATATGCCCACACCTTGGAGTGTTCCGAAAACAAGCGACCTTCCCTCACCCGTTGGTCGGGGTGTTCCGAAAACGAAAAACTTTGGTCTTCTCACTTGCCCACCCCAAGGGATGTTCCTAAAACATTGTGGTCGTCTAGCCTGGAGGCGTGGACATTCTCGACCACATGCCCACCCCTTGGAGTGTTACGAAAACAAGCGACCTTCGCCCACCCCTTGGTCGGGGTGTGCCGAAAACGAAGGACTTTGGTCTTCTCACTTGACCACCCCAAGGGATGTTCCGAAAACATTGTGATCGCCAGCCCAGAGGTGTGGACGTTCTCGAACACATGCCCACCCCTTGGAGTGTTCCGAAAACAAGCGACCTTCGCCCCCCCTTGTTCGGGGTGTTCCAAAAACGATGGACTTTGGTCTTCTCACTTGCCCACCCTAAGGGATGTTCCGAAAACATTGTGGTCGTCCAGCCCAGAGGCATGGACGTTTTCGACCACATGCCCACCCCTTGGAGTGTTCCGAAAGCAAGCGACCTTCGCCCACCCCTTGGTCGGGGTGTGCTGAAAACGAAGGACTTTGGTCTTCTCACTTGCCCACCCCAAGGGATGTTCCGAAATCATTGTGGTCGTCCAGCCCGGAGGCGTGGACGTTCTCGACCACATGCCCACCCCTTGGAGTGTTCCGAAAACAAGCGACCTTTGCCCACCCTTGGTCGGGGTATTCCAAAAATGAAGGACTTTGGTCTTCTCACTTGCCCACCCCAAGGGATGTTCCGAAAACATTGTGGTCGTCCAGCCCGGAGGCGTGGACGTTCTCGACCACATGCCCACCCCTTGGAGTGCTCCGAAAACAAGCGACCTTCACCCACCCCTTGGTCGGGGTGTTCTGAAAACGAAGGACTTTGGTCTTCTCACTTGCATTGAGGGATGTCGAGCAGGGGTTGCGTTCGTGGTTACATATGTATCAAACAAAAAATTCCAAAGGCATTGTGTAAGTGATCAGCGTGTATTATAAGTATCGAATTTAGGATCCATGTAACCATATAGAAATATTAGCGAATTTGTCTAAACATTTCCATGTAAATTGCGACCATGCCGTTAAATTAGTCAGCCCAAACTCGTAAATGACGTGTTGTAAGATGTTGATGCTAAATATGAAAGAGATCCAGTGACGTAAAAATCGATCATCTTGATAATCTTTGAAGAAATTTACTTCGAAGTTACAATAATCCGATTGCTTGAGCATGAAAAGAAAACAGAAAAGTTTTCACATAATATTTTTTAAGATTAGCTACATTCCACGACCTGGCTAGTGATCTGCCCTCAGCGTCCTTCAAGGAATATGCTCCTCCTGCGTGGACCTTTTCAACCAAGTATGGTCCTTCCCAATTAGGCTCCAGCTTGCCTACGTGCTTGAGCACGTCCACCCTCTAATAGACCACATCTCCCACCTGGAATTTGCGGATCTTCACTTTCTTGTCATGTGCTGCTCTTATCCGCTGTTTGTACACCTCAACTCTGGTCGAGGCTTGTTCTCTGAGTTCCTCGATCGTATCTAAGGCAGTCAGCATGAGCTCCTCATTCTGCTCCTGGTTGTAAGTGCTCGACCGCTGAGATTGTAACTCCAGCTCGACTGGAAGAAGTGCCTCCATTTCATACACCAGGCTAAAAGGCCTCTCACCTGTGGTCGACCTCGGAGTGGTCCTGTATGCCCAGAGCACAGATGTTAGCTCGTCGACCCATGCCCCCGAGGCTTTCTCAAGTCTTGTTTTCAGCCCATTTAAGATGATCCTGTTGGTCACCTCCACTTGTCCGTTGGCCTGTGGGTGGGCGACAGAAGCAAAATGCTGCTCAATTCCTATCTTCTCGCACCACGCCCTAACCCTCTTGCCATTGAATTGAGTTCCATTATCAGATATAAAGACTTTGGGGACCCCGAATCGACAGCAAATATTGTTGTATAGAAATTGGATTACTTTCTCCTCGGTGATCTTGGCTAATGGTTCGGTCTCCACCCACTTCGTGAAGTAATCGACCGCAACGATCAAGAACTTTCGCTGCCCCGTGGCCTGCGGCATTGGCCCTACTAGGTCGATTCCCCACTGCGCGAATGGGATTGGTGCGCTCATCGGCCAGAAATACCCTGCTCGTAGAATTTTTGCGACCATGGCTCCTGCCTTACTGTGATCGTTGCAGCATCCCTCGTGCACCTCTCTAAGGACATATCGGCCTTCCTCTTTGGTGACACACCATAAATGTGGCCCTGCATATGGCCGCTTGTAGAGGATCCCCCCTTGCTCGAAAAACCTCCTCATTACTTTTACTGTTCCTTTTCGCAGCTCTTTCAAGATCGAGGCTCTCCAGTCATCCGCTTCCTCGATCTCTGCCACTTCCGCTTCGACCACGCTCTTCTCCATATGGAGCAAGGTCGTACTCCTGCTCTTACAATCTACCAAACTTTGAGCGATTTTAGACAATAGATCGGCTTGACCATTCTCCCTTCTTGGTATTTGAATTAATTCGAACGACCCAAACTCTTCTTTCAGCCTTTTCATACCATCCACATAACGTTGCAGCCTGTCCTCCTTGACCTCAAAACCCTCTTGGAACTGTCCGACCACCAACTGGGAATCAGAGTGGACCTGAATTTTTCGAGCACCTCCGGCCAGCGCTAGCTGCAACCCCTTTATCACCGCTTCGCACTCCACCTCATTGTTTGATATTCGAAACCCCATCTTAACAGCAAACTCCAAGTAATCTCCTTTGGGCGAAACCAGGACTATGCCCAAGCCTGCTCCACTTCTCGATACTGAGCCGTCTGCCAACAATTGCCACACTCCCTCCATTTGCTCCTCTTCCTTCGTACCCTCCTGAATGAAATCAGCCAGAACTTGTGCTTTGATCGCCCTCCTTGGCTCATACATGATAGAGTATTCGCTCAGCTCGACCACCCACTTCACTAGTCGACCTGATACCACTGGTCAACCCAAAGTTTGCTCTAGAGGCATGTTCGTCCGCACCTTGACTCTGTGATTTAGGAAATATGGCCTCAACTTTTGAACCGTCATGACCACCGCCAATGCGCATTTCTCAATATCCGAATATCTCAACTCTACTCCCTGCATTACTCGGCTGACATAGTATATCGAGAACTGTGCTACTCCCTCCTCGCGCAACAACACCAAGCTTACCGCATTCTCGCCCACAGATATGTAGAGCACGAGCTCTTCCCCCTGTACAGGCTTAGCTGGCAAGGGCAAATTAGCCAACACCTCCCGCAATTCATCGAAAGCTTTCTGGGCCTCCTCCGTCCACTGAAATTTCGAGCTTTTCTTCAATGTTTTGAACAGAGGACCACTCTTCTTGGCCACTTTAGAGATGAATCTGCTTAAGCCCGCTATTCGACCTATCAATATTTGGACCTCCTTCACATTGGCAGGTGGCTTCATCACGATCACCACTCTCACTTTCTCAGGGTTCACCTCTCGATCACCGCTCTCACCTTCTCAGGGTTCACCTCTATTCCCTGCTTCGTCACACCAAATGAGCACTTGGCTGGGTTAAGTTTCATGCCATACCTCATCAGCGTTTGGAAAGTCTCCCTCAAGTCTCCCACATGATCCGACTCCACCTTGCTCTTAACCAGCATGTCATCGACATATACCTCCATATTCCTCCCCAATTAGTCTTTGAAAATCTGGTCGACCAGCCTTTTGTAAGTTTCCCCAGCATTCTTCAATCCAAATGGCGTAACCACGTAACAATAGATGCCTTTGCTCGTTATGAAGCTCATCCTCTTCCAATATTCCTTCGCCAAGGGGATTTGATGGTAACCTTGCGAGGCATCCATCAGGCTAGGTAGTTTGCATCCCGCCGTGGAATCTACCAGTTGGTCGATCTGGGGCAGTGGGTATAGATCCTTCGAGCACGCTTTGTTCAGGTTGCGAAAGTCGATGCACATCCTCCACTTCCCCCCTGATTTGGACACCATCACTGTGTTAGAGAACCATTCTAGAAACTGGATCCTTTTGATATGCCCAACGTTTAACAACTTTTCGACCTCCTGCTCGATTATTTTGTCCATTTCCACGCCATGATGTCACCTTTTTTGCTTTACTAGCCTCACACTAAGATCAATATTCAACCTATGCTCAATCACCCTGGTCTCAATCCCTATTAATTCCTCCGCCGTGTACGCGAAGATGTTCGCAAAATCCCTTATCAAGCCGACTAACCTCGACCTGATCGGCTCTCCCATGTCTTTCCCAATTATAAAATTTCGATCATCACTCCCTTGTACCATCTGAATTTCTTCGACCTCACCACCAGATTGCATGTCTATCTTCTCTTTTCCCTTGTCTTGCCATCCCTTCTCTTCCTTCGACCTCGACCCTCCTAGTCGATCAGGCCTCTTCCCCACCTTTCAATTGCTTTTTTTCCATCTGCTTATTATTGCTGACTGTGGTTTGGTAACACCTCCTCGATGTGAGCTGGTCCCCAGCAATCTCCCCCACATTTTCGCCCACAGGATATTTGATCATCATGTGGTATGAAGACACGACTGCTTGAAACGCGTTCAAACCTGTCCGCCCCAGGATGATATTGTACGAAGACTCTATACCAACCACTACAAACCTCACCATCCTTACCTTCCTAGTATCCCCCGACCCTAACGCCACAGTTAGACTCACCTCACCCATTGGCATCACCTCAGCTCCATTAAAACCATACAAGGCCGTCGCTACTGGTTTCAACTCCAGATTCAAATGCTTGTTGATCTGCGCGAAGCAGTCATAGAACATCACATCGACCGAGCTCCCAGTGTCGATGAACACCCTCTTCACGTCGAACCCCGCTATTTCCGTCGTGATGACCAGCGCGTCATTATGGGGCAGCAAAACTCCCTCCGCATCCTCTGCTCGAAAGTTGATCATCGGCATTCGAACAGTTATCCCGACCTCCTCCCTCTTGCGTTTTATGGCTCGCACATGCCCCTTTCGTGCATTGTTCGAGTCTCTATCTGTGGGCCCTCCGAAAATCATATAAATTGTGCCCCTCTTCGCGGGCATCTCCACTCTCGGCTCCTCTCGAGCATCATCACCTCGTCTCCTCTTCTCCCTCCTGGAATCGACTTCTCTGTCATCGTCCCTGTCACTTCTCGCCACTGAATCCTCCCTGCACCTTCTTTTCTCCTTACCTCGTGGTCGATCACAGATGACAAACTCTTTTAAGTGTCCTGCCCTTGTGAGACGCTCGAACTCGTCTTTCAGGTGCCTGCAATCCTCCGTGGTATGTCCGTAATCCCTATGGAATCTGCAGTATCTGTTCGACCTGGGCTTCGTCGGCCCCTCGAATCTCGTCGCCGGCCATGTGACCTCCTTACTTTCTAATTTCTCCTCTATCGCCGCCAAGACTTCGCCCATCTGGGCTTTGATAGGAGTGAAACTATTATATCTTTGACGATTGGGTAATCGGGGTCGCCCTTGCCAGCGATATTCTCGCCCTCCACGGAACGAATTTCGCCCATCCTTCCTGGGTGACAACCTCTTAGATAAGCCGTTCTTTGGGGAATTCCTCCTAGGTGATCCTCTCCTGGGTGAGCTCGGCCTTCCCTTCCTTTGTTATGTTTTTGCCGCCTCCTCGATTTTAGCAAACTCAGCCTCCGTCTCTTCCAAATTGATGTACTTCCTGCATCTCTTCAGCACCTCATCGTAAGTTCGAGCAGGCATCTTTTCCAACGACGTCTGGCATGGCCCTGGTCGTAGACTCCTAATCAATCCCCCTGCCTTCACCTCATCGACCGCCGTAGGTAACTCCAAGCACATCTGGTTGTACCGAGCAATGTATTTTCGCAAAGACTCTCTCTTGCCCTGCCGCATCGCCATCAGGGTGAGATATGTCTTCTCCTGCGCGACCGCACTCGAATATTGATTGGTAAGTTGTCCTGCAAAATCCTCAAAATCTCTGATCGAATCAGGAGCTAATTGGTGGAACCAGTCGAGCGCACCTCCTCGTAGGGTCGACAAGAATGCGCTCCAGCTGACCGAATCTGAGTACCCGTGAAAAACGGACATATATTCAAACGCCCTCACATGCCTCGATGGATCGCTCGACCCATCGAAGGTCAAATTTATCTCCCTAAAACTCGCAGGTAGAGGTGCACCTAAAATCTCCCTCGAGAACGGATGTCCTCGAGCACGCCTGTCTGGCCTCCCTTCCACTTTTTCTTGTAACTGGCGAAGTTGTTCGGCCATTCTTTCCATCACTCAATCTCTGGGGTCCACTCCTCCACCGTAACTTGATACGTCCTCCTCTTGAGTTCCCGCCATCATGGTCGACATGGTGGTGGCTAGAGAAATCTGGTGGGTGACCTGCTGCACAGCTTGCGCCGCCGCGTTGGCCATCATCCGCTGCATCTCCTCCCTCGTCATGGTCACCATTTGTTGAGCAGGGGGTTGTGGTGCTCCTCCTGTTGGGGGCGGCATTCTCTGCGCCACTGGTCCGACCTGCTGTGTCACGACCGGGCCTGCTTGCGACGGTGCGAGAGCCGCCGTTGGTGCTGCTTCACGAGCCTCGTGGTCTCTGCTCGTGCCTTCTCCTACACCTGGAATCGCCGCACCATGAGGCATCGGTGTCGGAGTCGCCGGTGTTTGTAGTGGTGCGAAGAAGCCCGGGAGAGGTCCCACTCCCATCGGTCTTGTCGTCGTCCACGCTTCATCAAACGACGACTGCAAATTCAAACGAGGAATTCCGTCCGCCATAGCTGAGCTCAAAACACAACTTTTCAAACAGAAGTTCCCACAGACGGCGTCAATTATACAAGTCTCGCACCCCGACCGGCTGGAAACCGTCTCGAGCTCGTTCTCCTCGCCGGTTGAACGCGGAACCTGCACGAAACTCTCACACTGGAGGTGTTTTTCGGTGAAGAGCCTCCAACGCTCAAGTCAGATCTTGAGAGAGATGATAAAAATATGTATATGTGTATTGGAGTATTAGAGATTGTATCTAAAAGTGAGGGTTCTCATCACTATTTATAGGGACGAGCTACCTGTTCTACATGCGCGACCAAGGCGAGTTTGGCCGGCTGTCCTCCTGCTCGTCCGTACAACCGCGCGCCTCCACTACCTTTGGTGTCAAAGAACGCGTCGAATCTGTCAGAGAATTTCAGATTTCGTTGTAGCCGCGGGCCACTCGTGAAGTGCCACGTGTCTTCCCCCACTTGCTGGAGGCTCTCCTATTTATCCTGATGTTCGACCGAATCTTCAGCGAATATTGAGCGGCTCCTGAGATATGAGGTGGTCGAGTCTACATCCACAGCCATTTGACCATCTTTCTTCGACCTTCTCCTCGAGCAGACGGTGCTTATCCAACACTATCGAGCTCGCTCTTCCTCGTCGTCTTCCTTCTTTCCTTCCTCGCGGGTGTTCGGTCCCATTCGACAAGACCGCTGATCTATTTTGTTCGGCTAACCCGACGAACCGGTCTAGTATACAATATCCCATATCAAATATGGCCTAAGACAACTCTACTTCTAACCATGAAATGACTCTTTTCCCAGCTCAAAGTCAAATTGGACTCAATGCAACGTTCAAGGACTCTAGATAAATTACGAAGACAATGAGAAAATGAATCACCAAATATAGAGAAATCATCTATGAATACCTGCAAGCAGTCCTCAAGAAAATCCGAGAAGATGGAGAACATGCACCTCTGAAACGTGCCCGGTGTATTGCATAGGCCAAAGGGCATCCGTCTGAATGCGATGGTGCCAAAGGGGCACGTGAACGTCGTCTTGGGCTGATCCTCAGGTGCTATGGTCACTTGGTAGTAGCCGGAGAGTCCATCCAGGAAACAATAGAACTGGTGGCCCGAAAAACGATCAAGGATCTGGTCAATAAACGGCAATGAGAAGTGGTCTATCTTGGTCACAGCATTCAGTCGCCTGTAGTCAATGCACATACGCCACCCGGTAGTGATGTGGGTGGGGACCAACTCCTTCTTGTCGTTCTCGATCACGGTTACACCTCCCTTCTTTGGAACCACGTGAATAGGACTAACCCACTCACTGCTCGCCACTGGATAAATCAGTCCCTCAGATAACAACTTCAACACTTCTTTTTTCACCACCTCTATCATGTTCGGGTTTAGTCGTCGCTGGCTATCCCAAAACGGCTTGGCTCCACCCTCTAGGATAATCGGGTGCATACATGTAGATGGACTGATCCCCTTGATATCTGTTAGAGTAGTATACCCGGCGTTCCAATCTGATTGGACGTATTCTACTTGTAAATACAATCTATTAGAATTATATTAATTAAAAGGCATTACTTTATCTTAAGAGTAAGCATTTATCATATAATTGCACTTAAGATAAAATCCATAGATCACATATGTTATAAGGTATGGTTGCGCATAGAGATGGTGATCATGGAACATACCTTGAAAGCAGTGATCTTAAATAAAGTTCCAATTCGATGGATGTTTCGAGATGGGATATCGAATAATCCATAAAAGAATTGCACATAGTATGTATGCTTGTTGGACAAGAATGTTGCATTCCATCAACATTAGCGTGGGACGCAAGTACATATATGTGAGTGCTTGTTAGAGAATAAGTTCACTGAACATGACCGTATGAAAATACTTAATGAAAGATTTGTCTTGTCGAATAAGTATTTTCATGTTACAATAGTACATGATTGGTCCTTAGACTTGAGGCACAATGGTAACTTTGTGCATATTACATTCTACTTTGATTTATCCTTTTGGTTGCTAGCACAATCGTATAAAGGGATGTTTTGGGTATTATGTTAATATGTATGGAAGTTTGTTAGTGGCCAACAAAGGATTCGACACTTATGAAGATAAGTGAATTTCCTATGTGTTTCATAGTTAGTAATTCAAAGTCCTTGGCCAAGGCGGGATGAATAAAGATTCATAAACGAATTACTAAACTTGAAATGAAATTATAGTTATTAAATCAATTTGGGTTTCGACAAAATCATACCCAAAGATTTAATCGGGAAATTGGATGTCGAAAGGATTTTACATGTATGAACTTGTAATCGAAATAGGTTTACTCGCTATTCACTTAATACTAGATTCATGCTACTTGCTAGATGTTCCCATGATATGTGGGTTCTTGAATTAATGAGTTAATTCAAGAATAAGAGTTAATATGAATAACTCAAATTACAAAGAGTTGTAAACCCACTACTAGTATTAATTGTGAACCTAAAAGGTCACACCAATTTTTGAATGAAGGTAAAATTCAAATAGTATTTCTAAAGAGTTAGAATTAATTGACAAATCTAATTTGATTAGATATCAATTAAAGGAATATATTAAATTAATCAATTAGATTGATTAATTGAATTTTGGATATTAATTTAGTAATTAATAGAATTACTAATTAATAGTTGGAATTTAAAATTGGATTTTAAATTTCAAATCCAAATAATAATAAGATTATTAAATAAGGAAATGGAAGAATAGATTAAAATAATAAAGTCTTGAAAAATGTTTTCAAGAATTATTATTTTATTATTTATCTTTAATATGATTGAAGATTAAATAATAATAAGAATAAATTAATTATGGTGGTTAGGAGTTGTTAACTAATCCACATAATTAATCTTATTTTTATTAATACAATAATAATGATTGATGGTGGTTATAAATCAATCATATTATTAATTAAAAGTCAATATTTGGTATGATTATTTAAATAAAATCTGATTTTATTTAAAATAAAATATATCAAATATTGATTATTTTATGCTAAAATGTTTAGTATAAATAGGTGCAAAATGTTTGCATATAAATTGCTAAGTTTTGATCAAAGTTCTTCCAAGAGAAAATTCATTCAAAGAGTTGAGTGATAATACAAGAAAGTGTTCTTGAAAAATTTCCTTATTAATATATATATATTCTATACTTATTGAATAAAATCGAGTAGTTCCTACTAGCGAAGGAACTATTGTCGGAACCGGACTTCAAAAGGTGGATACGATTAGAGGGAAGACATTTGGATTCCTAAAGTGAGTAACCACAAGAAGTGATCGTTACCAAACCGGGAATTGATTTCCTCATACATCGACGGTTTTGAAGGAGTTCAAGAACAAAGGTAATTTTATAAATTATATATCAAATCAAAATTAGTAAAAGTTACTAGATTTTAAATGATGTTTATTCGTAATATCGTTATACTTATGTACGGAATAAGTATTTATAAGATAAATACTTATAAAATTTTAAATTCCGCTGTAAACTCTGTTCCGTACGGTATATGGAACCCAACAATATCTCCCAAGCTCCACCCGATTGCTTTCTGATTCTTTCAGAGCATGGCTATCAGCTCCTCCTTCTCCTCACGGTTGAGCTCAACAAAGATGATCACCGGCCTCTGATGGGCATCATCCAAGAAGACATACTTAAGGTGCTTGGGTAGCTCCTTAAGCTCGAGTGTGGTCCCAGCTCGGGAATGGCCTTCTCCTACATCAAAAAGTTCCACTGTAGGCTCTTCCTCTTCCTCGAAAGCCGACAACAATACTTCTTCGAACTCCTGAAATACCATCTCATCAACAAAGGGGTCATCAAGATCAATTAAAGCACATTCTTCTAAAAAATTAACCGAGGATGAGGACATGGCCTCTCGGACAGAAATAGATACCGATTCTCCCAAAACAGTCATATTTAGGGTCCCATTCTTCACGTCGATAAGAGTATTTGTAGTCGCCATGAAAGGTCCACCGAGAAGGATGGTGTGATCCTTCCCATTCTCGTGCACATCTCCAACGTCTAGAACCACGAAATCTACTGGAATGATAAGCTTACCCACCTTCACGAGAACATCATCGACTATCCCCTTTGGGTACCGGATGGAACGATCTGCCAACTGGAGGCACATACGAGTTGGCCTCAACTCCCCAAGGCCGAGCCTCTGAAAAATCGAGAAGGGCATAAGATTAATTCCGGCCCCGAAGTCAAGCATCCCCGAAGCTACCATTCCATTCCCCGAGGCTATATGGATAATAAAACCACCGGGATCACGTTCCTTCTTGGGCAAATCGTGCTGCATTGCACTTTCTGCCTCGTACACAACCACTTTCTCTCCATCATCAAACTTTCTCTTCTAAGTCACCAAGTCCTTAAAGAACTTACCATATGATGGTATATTCTTAATTACGTCGAGGAGTGGCAAGTTGACGTTCACCTTAGAAAGCATGCTAAAAAGATCCCGGAACTGCTTCTCTTGCTTCTCGTTCCTAAGTCGGTCCGGAAAGGGAATGCGCGACTTATATGATTCGGCGACTAATGTAGCACCAGCTCGTCTGCTTCCTTGTGCTTTTCTGGATGAGTCTCCTGATCCTCGGGCTCGGGCATCTGCACCTTGTTGTCCACTTCTTTCTTGATTCTGAGTATAGTGATAGCTTTAGCTTGCTCGGGCTGGCTAGGCAACTTCCCTTTGTTCATCTCAGTCTCAATGTTACCGACCCGAGCGGCCAGTTGGCCTACCTGTGTCTCAATGCGCTTGATTGACGCCTCCTGATTGACATCTCGCTGCTCACTGTTCACCATAAATTTAAAGAATTTTGGCAACATCGCCTTGGAGGGTTGAGCTCGGCCCTGCTCCCGGTGCTTGTATCTCGGCCTCTGGTCCTCTCTGCTATTATTGTGGCTGGTAGTTCGGACGGGGCAAAAAGTTAGGTCGAGGTTGCTGCTGCATGAAGTTCGTACGGGGAGGCTGAAGGGTGTTCGAGTTGTTTGACCATGAGAAAGCGGGGTGATTTCGCCATCCGGGGTTGTACGTGCTTGAATATGGGTCATTGCCTGGCCGGTTCTGGTATCCCTGTAAAGCACTGAAATCCGCATACTGCTCTCCAGAATCCTGCTCGAATGATGAGGGGCATACTTTGGACCTATGCCCTAGTACTCCACATGCCCTACATGTGTCAACGGCAAAGGTATTAACCGGTTGAGATTCTCGTGCGGTAAGCAATCTCATCTGCTCAGTAAGCTCAGCTAGCTGTTGGGCCACCAAGTCATGGTCTGCTCCGACCTCATTCACTATCGCTCTCTTGCCTCGAGTGCTCTTCTACGACGAGTTCGTACTCATCGTCTCAAAAATTTCAAACATCTCCTCGGTTGTCCTTGCTCCGATATCACCTCCTGCTGCATTGTCGACCATATACTGCAAGTTCTGGTGGAGGGAATCGTAGATGCATTTCATGAGTAGCCCCAAAGAGAGGTTTGGGGGCACTGCCGCTGGAGATCCTTCAACCGCTCCCAAGCCTCATGAAGAGACTCATTCGGTAATTGAGCAAATGAGACGATCTGTGACTGAAGCTCCTGGGTCTTTTGATGAGAGTAGTACCTCCCATAAAACTTTGAGTACACCTCGATCCAAGTGGTGAGAGAGCCCGGTGCAAGCGTCATGAACCAGGCCTTGGCCCGGTCCTTCAGTGTCTCAGGAAAGCACCTCATCTTCAACTGCTCGTCATTAAGCCCACTGAGAGGGAAAGTGTTGAGGAAATTGTAAAATTCCCAGATGAAGTTGAGCGGGTCCTCGCTGGGAAGCCCGTGGAATGCTGGCAGCTGGTTGTGGTGAATCATTTTGAGCTCGTAATTTCGTGCAACATCCGGCAAACGAATGCATGAAGTGACTGGCCCGATAACCGGCTGGGCTAAGGTTCGGAGGGTATTACGGCGAGCTTTTTGTTGTCGTTCACCCATGTCGAAGTTGCTGCCTTTGGATGATTTCGGAGAATGCTCGTCTTCCCCGTGCGATTCCAGAGTAAGCTCGTCAAGAAGCTCTCTCAGACTCTCGTTGAACGGTTTGTCAATAGGAGATAGTACACGTCCATTCCTGGTACGCATACACAAAGACAAAGAAACCGTCACGAGCACCAGATAAACAAAGAAGAAAAACTAAAGAAAAACAAAGAACCAAAAATCAAGAACTAATAAACTAAGCAAAATAAAACAAAGAGAAACACTTGGAAAAAAACAAATAGGCGCACAATTAAAGTCCTAAACTTTCCCCGACAACAGCGCCAATTTTGTTGTCAGTATTTTTACCAGAGTAGAATCGACAGATTCGTTCCCTGGGTCGTATCGCAAGGAAGGTTAATCGGATTCAATTGTACGATTATTCGATCACGAAAAAGAAAAGAAAAACCCCTAAACACTCTATTTCAATGGTTTTGGTTTCAATTATAGCTAATGACTTCAAAATAAATGAAAGCGATTTAAATAGCAAATGAATTAACTCGATGATTAAAAAAACTAGGGAATCGGGGATAATTGCTTTCGGTTCTAACACAACTACCAGCAATCAATTGCTCGGTTAAAGGACTTGAATCGTTCCTCGTCCAAAGGTTCACTCTCAATAACTCTTCGTAACAAGAGAGTGAACGTACACGATTAACTATCAATTCCAACAACTCATAGACAATACTATTACGAACAAGTCTACTCTAAACAATTCTATATCGACCAACGTCTCCCCTCTCGGTTCTACACGTTGATTAGCTAGGTTAGAAAGGTGAAAAATCTACTAACCCTAGAATATGCACAACTCAAATAGACATGAACAATTAAAGACAAGCAATCATTAAACGAACCTAATCAATAATCCCCTATCCCTAGCGTATGGATTTAGCTACTCATATGGAATTCAACATCAAAATTCATATAAACCCAAGCCATCATCATCAACAAGAAATTCAGAAAAAAGGAACTTTTGATTAATAATGAGAATTCCAATGTCAAATCCTATGAACAATCCAAATCCAAAGCTAGAAAATAGAGTTTCAATCTCCAAAATCCAATCAAAAGAGCAAAAGTATGAAAAGGAATGAGTTTCTAGAGAGAAAAAACATAAAAAAAAGGTCTGGAAGTCGAATAATGATGCCTAGGTTGAAATTCTGAAGTAAAAATCCCGTCCTCGAAATTCGCGTCGAGTAAGTCGCGAGTCGCGACTTCTTGCGAGTCGCGCATCTTCAAATATCTTCATTTTCTGGGGAAAATCGCGACGTGTCTCGCGAGTCGCGACTCCATCTCGCGAGTCGCGACTCCATCTCGCGAGTCGCGACTCCATCTCGCGAGTCCCGACCTTGACTCGCGAGTCGCGACTCGTGCTCGCGAACTTCATCTTTAGCCTCTGTTGAACTCGCGCGTCGTGAACTTCTCGCAAGTCGCGACCATCTCGCGATTCGCGACTTCACTCGCGAGTCGCGAGAAATTCTGGGCACACCTCCAGCTCATTTTTTCAGTCCTTCTTTCAGCTTCCTGAGCTCCACGACGTGTATTCTCGACATCACGCTTTCGGCTCAAGTAGTCCCATCATCGATCGGGATAACCTACCTCCTGAAAACACAAACACGGAGAAAAACACGAAGCAAAACACGACAAAAAGACACATAAATAGAAACTAAGGAGAAAAACACAAAACCACATAATTGGACCAAATAAACTACGAAAATCCTACAAGTGAGGAAAATATAAAGAACATAAACTCAAAATAAAGACACAAAAAATGAGACAAACAAGGCTCACCAACTTTTTATATATGAAGTGGACTATGATTTTCTTATTATCCAATTAAATAGTGGCACATCTGGTAATTGGTTGATGAATGTCCAATGAGATCAGAAGTCTAATGCATTTCCCAACTAAGTTTCCTCCCTAAGGCACTTGGACATCCTTAGTTCGCTTCAATGCTGTACCAATTTTCATCCCAACTTCAGAAGACATCCAACTGAGTGGGATATTCCAAGCCTGGACCTAAATGTCTAATTCCTGAATGTTCGGATGGTCTGGTGAAGAATCTTCACTCCAATCCCTTAGGATTATGTGTTGGCTTTCAAAAGTCCAACATTTGCCATTGCACATCTTGTCCTTATCCTCTCTGTTAGCAAAGATTTGCTCAGATAAAACCACAGTTTATGTTTAGTATATGTCTGCTCCATATACACTTTAGTATATGTTTGTTTTATTTACTAAACATTTATGCAGCAGATAAAACCACATTATATGTTTAGTATATGTTTGTTTTGTTTACTAAACATTTATGTAGTAGACAAACCATATTATATGTTAAGTATATGTCTGCTGCATATATATATATATATATATATATATATATATATATATATATATATTATATATTTGGTATATTTTTAGTATATTTTCGGTATATTGAAGGTTTATTGCATTTTATTTGCTTTATGGTTTTTCTTACTATATGTTATTCATTTTTTGTTCTTTTTTAGGGTGAACTGTATGTTCATTTTATGGACTGTATGTTATTTTTTGTTATCAATCTTCATCTCATCACATTAACATTATACAATAGAATGGTTTAAGTAAAGACCATCACACCTATAAAGGAAACACGAGTGATGTTCGTGATGGGAATAAAATGCCCGATGATAGTATTCCCAGTTCAGTGGAAAAAGAGACAGTTTGTTTTCTCGATAATAATATTGATTGTCCATATCACATTTTAGTTAACAACTCTAAATTCGGTTTTATGACATTGTGTTAATGTTTTTTTTTTTATATCTCTTTTTTTTTTTGGAATGTCACATAAGTTTTTTGAAAAAGCAATCGAGTGTCAAATCCCCCATAAGAGCATTCAGAATCAAATCATAAGCACTCATGCAGAGCGCAGCAGACAAGGTAAGCAGATCATGCTGCAAAATATCCCCAACTTCATATGTCATAACATGTCCCATATTTTATTTTCATTATTACGTTCGTTTTTTTCTTAGTCTGTACCAGTTAAAGATTTGCCACAGCCCGATATCCATGTACCTGTTCAAAATTTACCCCAGCCCGATATCCATGTACCAAGTGGTGCCGATGACGATGACACATTCCCCTTGATTAACACCCAATTCTTAAAAGAAATTGACAGGACTGCACAAGAAAAGTTAAATGAAGCATCCAAGTGGAAAGAACTGGTAAAAATATACCTGGTGTATTTTTAGTATATGTTAGCCATATAAATGCATATTATTAAAACTGTGGGATGTATATAAATTATAATTGATATTTGTTTTGGTATCCAGAGATGTTTCGAC